ACAACAAACCCCCCGAACGGAGCGCCAACCTAGACCAACAATGGTGGTAATGAATGTGTGTGACTGCATGTACATGTGCATGTATCTGCTCGTGTGTGTGTGTGATACAAGTGCGGGTAGTGCCCGCACAGGATGAACTTCTATGTAGTTCTTCAGCTAGTAGTACTCGCATTCGAGATATCTATCGTAATCTGCCTTAGGTGAACAACTTGAGGGTGACTTCAATTAGGGGGTGCCTCGATATTCATCCGGCTTTTGACAACGGCGGCGGCGGCGGCGGCGGCGGCGGCAACAACAGCAGTGGCCTTAATAACTAAACAACCACAAATTATTTCTGCGAATAACCTCACAAGCTGTTGATACACTATACATCTCGCGTTACGTCGTCGGGACTCGCGAGTTCAAATATAAGTAAAGTATTCAGTTAGTTCTTAAGAGGTCGTAGGCGCGGTGGTTTGGACGGCCACGTTCCGGTGGCGTAACACATCTCGTTGAAATCGACATAGGGTGTCTTTCGAACATAAACAAGGCTTTAACAACGGAGACAGTAAACTAAGAACATATTTGGTCGTTGTGCGTTCATAGTTATTGTCTAATACTTTTATTTTTCCAGACACCCTAGGATGAGTATAAGGTTTTTGGTTTGTTTGACTTGAAATGCCTGTCCCAAAAAAGTTAAGGGGAACGGGCACTAGGTTTGCACCGAGTTTCCAACTGTGGAAAGGTGCCTATGGAATAGGTTGTGCAAAACAGAAACAGTGAAAGCTGCAGTTCAACGCCTTTAAAGCATTCAACTTTGAGGAGTCGATAGGTTGAAGTTGGCGGATTCGACGACCATGGCTAGCCGCGTCTAGGATCGTGCGTCCTTTGTCAGCATCGATTATCATCGTTGTGATTCGTGCTATCAAGCGAACACCGGAGCCCCTTAATTGTAAACAGTGTACAAATAAACGAAAAAGCACTTTCAATGCATCGTACGGCTAGATGAGAGATCTCATAGGTCAAAACGTTGACTGACTAACCGATGTTACACATAATTGTGGGTTTGATGCTTTTATCAAAATGATTAACCAAACATACCACAAAGCGATAAAGCCCCGAACGTTTTTGTTTCTAGGGGGCGAGTCCGGTGGTGATATAATTCCACTGGCGTATCCTGACATAATCAGGATACATGTTACTTCATACGGACCTGTACCAGCTGATGTTTATTTAGCAGGCTCTCTGAGCGTTGGCTGCCATCTTCACGTCTGTACTGCGAAGTAACGTCGTCGAAAGCGCTGTGCCATTTTAATGAAAATTGTCAGATGTACAGATCGGATTCAGACGTCTTTGTGGATTATCGAAACATTTAAAACTAATATGATTGATTGAACTACATTTATTACATCTCGGTGCTATCCCAATGTAGAGCAGGCTATCTACGGAACAATAAGTTGAACAACTTACTTCGAACTAATAGTCTACAATTTTTGAGCTTAAAATTTACACGGCTGGACGTCTGCTATATATATATATATATATATATATATATATACACACACACATATACTACAGTGATCATTGATTTAAGGCCGCATTATGGAAACTGTGCAGCCGAGATGCTGATTTTCGCAGTTGAACGGTCTCCTTCCATTGTGTAAAGAGTTGAAAATTGATGAAATATATCTGCGTCAAAATTGGTCGACAGCTCACAACACGAGAAAAGTGCATGGATATGAGCAGGAATAACAGTCGTGTGATGATGAGGCCTGCCAGCATTTAGGTTAAGGTTGCTAAATGAACGAAGCCAGGATTGCAGATACGTTTCCCATATGAGAGACGGGGCAATTTCAGGGTGCACCTGCAGACTGTTAACGAGTTGATTGTAATGAACGGATAGAACAGTTCAGAGTGTAGTAACTGTGCCAGTTTATAGTTTACGTTATTAATGAAACATTCTTGAGAAACGGGGTACCGCTACAGCTAGATAGGGGGGGGAGCAATGCAACCGAATTTACGGAAAAATTTTAACGCGGTAGCTGATGGTGAAGATGTCGATGTTGAATGCAACGACCCATCGGAACAGGCCAATAGCAAGCAGGACTATTAATAATTAGGTAATTATAGCTGTCGGAGCTAGAAGATGACTGTAACGTACTAGATGCCAAAGGATAACGAATTTACTGCACGTACTATTATGTGAGTTCACGTTTGATCCGTACGCCAAACAGTTAAGTTGGCCAATTGTTTCACAGTAATCGATTGGTAACTAGAAGAAGTGTTAGTAGTGTTTGTTGTTAATAGTAATCATTGGTCCACACTTTAGCAGTTCAAGCGATGGCAAAATGCGTGTGGCGTGGGACTGATTCATCTACTGAAATATATTCTATCCGTAATTTGTCGAGGATTCGAAAAAAAAAAAAAAAAAAAACATTCGAGTTAGGTCCTAGGTCATATTAGCCACCCAGCTAAGACACCAATGCTTATCCAACAATAATCATACGTAAGCGTGCGTGTATAATTAGCTTTTTCGGCTCAACATCGTAAAATTATATAATAGAGATACATAATAATAATAATGTATTGTAGCGTAGAAACGCGCTAAACGAAACAACGATAGATAAACGAGGTCATTAGTTAACAGAGAGACGGGCAGAGACATAGATACACACACACACACACACACACACACATTTGGTACGATAAATATTATATTGTCGTTGACTTTATTGTTGCCAGTTCCTGGGTACGTTCCGTTAATCGTCGTAGTCGACGACGAGCCCATCTGTTTCTCGTGCCTTTTCCTCTTCATATCTTCAGCTTCTTTTTTCATCTTCTATTTTGGCTTCTTTATTTTCGTCGTCTTAGTGTCTGGCGATGATGATTGTGGCGCTAGTGATGCTGCGGCCGTTCAGTGCTCTCAGCCTGATTCCGTTGGCTCGTCGATCGTAGCGCCGTAGTTGTTGTTGTTGTTGTTGAACGGCAGATCGTATTGCAGTCGCCAAGTGAATTGGTCCAATTTACTCGTGCCAGGGGCCCTCGTATTGAAGGGCTGAGCTCGCTGCCAGCCAAACACTAGTCGTCGTAGATGATGCCGTTGCCGATGATGAAAGAGAAGAGGGAGAAAGCGAAAAGAAGAAAAAGTACCGCTCCGTGATACTATCTGTACTAGCTACGCGAGCAAACAGACAGTTACACATAGACGTATTTGTACAAAGGTTTGTGCGTAATACGTCGACACACGTCTACATGCATAGATATCCTCGTACACTTTTACTACTTGGCCTGTCAGCCCGTATCCTGCGCGTACGTGCGTCACCATCGAACGGCATCACAACCGCCGTCATCATTAGCGAGAGCAGCGGATGGAGTTTCGTGATACCTCCCTGGCGTACACATGGCCCTTGTTCCCCGAGGTAGGTGTGTGTTTTTCTAACGCTCATCCTGATGCTGCTTGAAATAATTCGAAGTGCTTAAGAGTAAACTGGTATGATTAACCGTATTATTGAATGCCTCAGGTTGATGAGAGTTGGGGAGTCTGTATTGCTATTATCGCGATCCCGCAAAAACTGCGCCGCTTGACAACTGATGAAAGGTACGCTGGATTTACCGAAGCTTCATAGCCCAATTGGTGCGCGCTCACTTCAGCAATCATCGCATCTGAGCTGAAGCCGTAAGAACTCCCCGGCGTCCATTTGAATCGTCAATTATGAATAAATATTTAATGCCTTTCCTAGTGTCAAGAATGTTATTGAATTTTAATTAACGTCTGTTCTCATTTGCAGGATTATCCAACATGTTTTTACCTCAGCTCATGCTGTTATCCACATGATATTGTGGTGCGATTAAACTTTCGCAAAACTGTTTTCGGACGCGACAGTTATAGGCAGGAACGCTAATCACAAGCCGAGCCTTATTGGAACCAACCACCTAACGGTACTCCACCTTACAAATGGTTGACATAGCGCTCAAGTCCTTATCAAAACTGGCCTTGTTTCTCGTGACAAGGTAGAGATCCGGGAGTTTCAGGCCGGGAATTCGTTCCTTCTGCCTTCTCTTATCCGCGATACGGCCCTGGCTTTAACGAGTGCAATAACGGAGAGCAGCAGCTTCTTTGTTCGTTCCTTCTGTCCATTGTTGTTGCTCTTCTTTCTGTTTCGCTGTTATTATCACCATCACCGTCGCTGTTGGCTCTCGACCGCTACCAGGACGCTCCATTTGTAATTGAGCCCAAATGGAATACTCACTAACGGACAATTACGCATTTACTACTGTGGATACAGACTTATTTCAACAACGCTAAAAGCGTCACCGTCGATAAATGTATCGTTGCTATCTAGCCGCTGCGATCGTCGCACCGCGACGATCGCATCGGCTAGATGAAGACAGTTAGATGAAGACTGCGAGCAGTCACCGAAAGACCATCCTTCGACTCTCTGCAACGTCGTTCGTTAGACTAACTGGCCGATATTGATCTTCTATGTACACGACATTTTTTGTTACGATTAAAACGAGCGCCGCTGCTACCGCCACCGCTGCTGTTACTTCGAATGATGGACAAATCGAATGCATCTGTCACTACGAGGAGACACGGCCGCCACTTGCGTAAGCGTAGGCTTGCCGGAAAAGGATAAACGTTTCCTCCAAGGGACACGCTGCTAGTGAATGTATAGTGAGCGCTGTGAAATAACGCACGACAAATACGGCAGATACAACCGCGACCGTTTCAAGTGTGATATTGAATTATTTATGTTTTGAACGCGTACGAAATAATGTACTTATCTATATGGCACGAATGTGACCCGGAATCTAATGTCAATATAAATAAAAGAAGAAAACCTGCGACCAGTTACTGGACCAATGCTGGTCGTTAGACGCCTTTAAATGTTGCCATTTATAGAAGTCATCAGAAAGGATCCAGTTTTGTCCTGAGTATTATTTATCCAATAAATATTTAGATACGAACAAAATAATCGGATCTATATGCGCCTTCAAAGAAATGACAGCAGATCCCAGCGTAAAAATCCCTGAAGTTGTTTATTGCCTCAATTTCAATAGCACATAACGTAACGTCATATCATTGTTTTTGTTGTACTGGCCGCTAGCCGGCCTTGCGAAGCAACGCCTAACAGCAGTAGCGAGTTTGACTTTTGAAACACCGAACAACATTCTAAGTTTTGTACAAAACGTTTTTTTCCATCGTTTTGAAACTGACTCACGTTTTTTTAGATATAGAATAGGATAGAATTTTAGAGCGCTTTGTTTCCATCGAAATACAATATCACATTAGCAAGCAGTCGTCGTACATTTACCATTGCGGATGTGGCATACTGGCCAAGGTAAAAGCCGGTTCGCGGACGGAGGTCTCCAGGTGGAATATATATAGCTCTGTTCTTTGGGATTATAAGAACGTACGATGTACATCGAATCAGTCACGCTGTGCCTCGTTTACAATGCTCTATTATTATTATTATTATTATTATGGAAAATTGTACCACTTTAATGCGTGTGGCGTAAACAGTGAACGTAAACAAATGTCTTGTATGAATGATCTTGTAAGGACCTTAGTAGAAGTATGGAGGCAGGTGAAATTTGCATCCATTTGATTTCCTTTAGCACTGATGGATTGATTAGTTATTCATCGTCAGCAAAGATCACACCCCGTTCATAGTCAAGACGTGCCCGCGGGAACTGGGTTTCAACCGTGACGTCTTGTCTGGTGGCTTGTAAGCCTTTATAGCAGATGACACGCACCTCCTGGTCTTGTTCCACAACAAGGTAGAGCTTACGCCTGGTGCTATACACATAAATGAGTTCATAATTTGCTGGGTCGAGTTCAACCAGCGGAAAGGACAGCAGTTCTTGCCAATGATCGGTATCATTCAGTTGAATGCGGTGAAGGACATAGGCGCGACAGTCCTTCGCTGAGAGTATGACTGGAACGTTGCAAAAGACGGTAGGTATATCACGTTCGCATGATTTATGTGGAAGCTGAGACACTCTCGTCACAACCCAAGGAATTTTAGGGTCATGGTCGAAGCAGAACATACCCTCCTGAAGTATTTCTTGAATTCGTAGTGTAGCAACTATAAATATTTCATTGTTGATTATGTTCTCAGTAATCCGATTCTCGCTCACCTTGATCAGCTTGTAGCCCTTTGGTAACTCGACAGTGTGAAAGCATTTTTTAATCCGGTCGAATATCTTAAGTCGATCACCCGTCCGGCTTATCTTGTGCAAAAAGATCTGTCTCTCGGATTTTAGAAATGACATGAGGGTGCCGGAGGTGCCTTCTACAATACGATCAGGTTGACCTTTTTCCCGTAATTGGATCGACTCCCCCTGCGTTTTGCAGTATAATAGGCTCTTGCCGTATTCCACAATGCAGAAGTGTTCGCAGCTATACGGTAGGTCGTCTGCTTGTGGCCAGTCACATTTGGACCAATGTGCTCCGTCAAATTTTAGCAAATTTGGTTTGGCATGCTCGATATTCTGGAAGTTCACGTACACCTCGTTACCGTGCTGTGATTTAGCATTGTCTTCGATAAGACGTACCTCAAAGTCATCTTGAAGTCTGTTGATGACTGCTAGCTGTAATTCGGTGAAGCACATAAGACGTGTGTGTGCATCTTCCACAAACCATCGATGAATCGCGCCGAGAACACCTTTAAGATTGAACTTGACTTGCTTTTTGAGTACGGGTACCAACTGAAACAATGAATCTTTTTTAAGTGTTTTCTCGTCTGTGAGCACCTCCAGAAGGTGTTGTGATATATAGGATTCACATTCAGCGATCAGGTCTTGAGCTAGCAGCATGTCCGCCGTCTCAAGGAGGTCTAGACTATTGTTAACACGGAGTTCGATACAGCCGTCGTAGAAGAAATCAACCACTGGACTTAGCACACACGATGCAAACGGCACTTGAACTTCGCTCTGACACGCTTCAATGAAGTTCGATGTTAGCATAGCGTTAAAATACGATGAATTCGCACATAGAACCGCTTTGTGACACCTTAAAAGTTGTTCGTCACTGGTGAGCAAGGTTAGGTCGCATAGGAGTGGTTCGTGGATTCTTTGCTCTTTAAGTGAAGTCAACAGGCGACGGCAATGGTGCACGAGCCTCCGCATCGTTACTGCTCTTCCTTCTTACCTGGAATAATGAAGCATTTCAGATATCACTGTGCAGTGAAAACAAGTTTGGACTCGATAAATCATAGCGCCGATGTTGAGACGACATCGTACTGCGTGAGGTAGTATTAGTCATGAACAGAGTCGACCGTATAGCGCGCTATGCTCGTAAGGTAAACAAAGCCTACCAGGGCGCCCTCTAAGCTACACAGCTTCTCACACGCGCCATGTTCTTGAACGGCTAAATCTGTTCGGCATTCACCGTTTAGACAAATCCAAAAATGGGACAGATTTCAATGGTCTGCATAATGAAACGTCAATCCGGTGATAAAGGCTATGGTGACAAATATCCTGAGCCAGACCCCATTGTCTCACCACTCATCGCTTCGACGAATGGCCAAGTTAACAGTAAAAAGCGTAGATAAAGTTATCATGTATTGTGTGTCACTAGTAGGTCACTAGTACCGTCTCGATAGCGAAAAAAGAGGAAGCCATTGTAACTATGGTCACGTAATCTATAACTATATTATTAATGTTGATGCAAGCTCCCTCGTCTTGGGAAATCATGAGTGAATATAAGATAGCACAGTAAGTCGGTCAGAACGTATGCAGAGATTTAATCCGCTTCTTTAATAGGCGCAGCATTGAAAACGTCTGTTTAGTTCCAAACGCATTCGTTCTCTCCCCCCTCTCTCTCTCTCTCTCGTTCACGGCTAACTTAAAGTAAAGCTTCGACGCCATCCAAATTTCCATATATTCAATAGCCATTTTAGTTAATCGTATTGCTTTACAATTTACCTACATCAAACCGGCTATGCCCCTAATAGCCAGAATAATTTATGGTATTTTTAAAATTGTACCGTACATCGATGGTAGCTTTTCTCGATTTTAAACCCTTAAACATGAATAGAGCAAACACAATATGCTCGGACAGAAGAAAATCTAACTTGTATTTTCTATAAGATACGCAAATGTACGTTACACCACTATCCCGTGCATATCTTTTTTGCGTTCCTGTGTAAACTGTGTGGCAGATTAGGTTTCAATTTGCAACTGATGTGTCGATGTGAGGACAAATACTGTATAAGTTGCCAACGGAAAGCCGAATATTCAAAATGGCTATGCTGCCGTAGATGAGGAAGCAATTGAGCCTGTTTTTTAGGTGCGCCTAAATTCGGGTTATCTCGTTAATAGCTTCAATGACCATTAAGATTGAGAGCTGGCCGCAGCAGAGTTGTCCTAAGTGTGACGCGAATTTTTGTACTTTTTGTGTGTATTACCTGGAGAGAAATCGCAGATATGAGGGTGCTTGCTTCATAGTAGTTATTGGTACGTTGTCGCGTTCACAGGTACACAAACTGACTAATCTATTACTGGCTAGGTTAGATAATGCTAAAGTAAGAGTATATCATTTTGTGTGTAAGCTTAACTTACATTTGTCTTTTGTAGATATGTAATAAACAGTCATATTATAGTCTGAATAGAAGTCCTCCGAAGTACAAATACCCCAAGGATTTTTGAGGACCTAGTATATATATTACGAGTAAGTTAATACTACTAGAAAAATATATGTCTTAAGGTCAACCTAGAAAGGTGCAGGAACGGACAGTTTAATAGAGTAGGTTATGATGTGTGCCGCGAAATGGGGTTAGCGAAAGCTCGGCAATAAAAAAGAAGATGCGTTCAAATTAATCACAAACGTTTGATTGAACGCTATAATTTCCGGTAAACTACAAAAAATATGTATCTATTATCGACCTACGTGAACTAATGTTAATTACGAAGAGCTAAAGGATATAAGTTTCAATGGTCGCAGCAGAGGTTCGAAATGAACCGCCATTTTTAAAAAAGCTCACCGGGACCGAGCGGCTGTTCCCACTCGACAATTAAGATTTTGAAAGCAGGCCACAGGAGAGTTGTCCTTAGCTTCTAAGGAAACGTGCGTGTGATACCACACTATGTGCTTCTCACGGGACAGGACAAACGTATTGTGGATAATCAGGCTAGCTTCTTACACTCGCTCTCTAACTTTTCGTTGCGAAAAAGTCTTCTCAGAAATAAGCTTTACTCGTTGCAATTTACCTGTCGGCTTTGTTCTGAATAGAATATAGTCCAAAAAGAAATCTTTAGCTTAGACTAAGGTAAAGATCAACAAAAATCGCATTGTTTTTATGAAAAACAATTGTAATTATTGTTGAAAGCAGAAAGGAGAAGTACACAAGAGTTGAAATTGTAGGGCTAAAACCATGTGCCAAAAACAAATTCTTCCGGATTTACAGCTTGCCGATATAAGTAAAGGATTTTTTAGAGAACATAGACGATCAAGTTAATAAACGACGAATGGTCTAATTACAAAATCATCTAGTGGCTCTTAAGTTCTTGATTCAAGTTTTGTTGCTGGAAGGCAGTGTTCGATCTTAAAATAAATTAACCAGAGTTTCTGACTCAATTATTCTCGATGTTAATAATGGCCCAGACAACAGAAGAATACTAACAGTATCGAGTGGGGTTCTGCGACGGCCCGAGACAAATTTCTACGATTGCCTTTACCATTAGCACCTGCATCGCTGGCACTGGGGCAAAATCTAGGCCTGACCCCTTCTCGACCTGCGACAACGTCAACAGCAGGACGTTGATACAGGAGACGATCAGCAAAGGAAGTCATTACCCGGCAGCGATACTGATCAATGGGATAGAACAGATAAGGATTCAGATCGGTCAAATATGGTAGGAGGCTTTTCGCCATATAATTGCAATATGGCAACTAATTCAACTCTATCCAGGTGTATTTTAATCTGATAACCGTCACTCTTACCATTCGCGCACTAAATGCATCCTCAATTAGCCACTCTGTTCATGCAAACGTTCATATATTTAGGGTGTAGTAGACGAAATATGCTGGTTTAGGTACCCGCTCTTTTTGACCATATGCCCACTTTTTGTGCTGAAAACATCCTTAGTTCCAATTGATAACATGAAGCTGATCACGACTTATCTTACTCTAATGTGGTTAGCTACATTGTGGCAGTGCCAAGTTTCCCGAAATGAGTTAGTTATGCGTTTATTGAGCAATTTTCACCCTTAAACAAATGGTGGAATCGGGGCATCCTATGTTATCGTTATCGTTATCGCTATCGTCGCTTATCTATCGCACATTGCAAAAGTACGTATTTCATAACGTAGTATGCACCCTGAAGTACAAACAGTTACGTATTTAGATCGGCTTTAGATATATATGTATGTATCGCACATCGTATAGTTAGACGTCCTACATGTTAAGAAACTCACGTCCTAGTAGAGATGTGCGGATTGAGAACTATCATTTGATTACCTGCTTGTATCACCAGCGACCGCATGTGTCCTAAACGGCCCCACTTGCTGGAGACACTGTTTCACCTGAAATGGGAGCTTTAAACAGTAATCGGCTTATACAATACCAATGCGTTCGTACAGATCCCTTATTTACAACACAAGAAGCAATAATTGACACAGCTGTCAAATCGGTCAAGAAACTACTATCAGATCTTCTATCTATTGGAAGTCGTTCTATAAAAAAATGTCTGCTCTGGCCTGTTATATACTGACACTTAATTACTCCGCAAACACATCTCGACGTTGTATTGCGACGCTGCCTCACTCGAAATAGTCCACTCGAAGCCCTAAAGGCCAATTTCAGGTGCATCACACTGTCGTAGGTACCTTGAATAAAAACCATAATAATAAATTATAACAAACGCTGTTGTAGTTAAACACTGTATAACAAATATCCTTCGTTGTCACACCCACAAGTTCTATCCAGCCGCACAAAAAGACGACTTTATCAAAATTTTTCCAATGATTCGCAATGAATGGGAATGCCGTACTCCAGCAAGCTGCAGGTACATTGTACAAAGCGGTACATTTGTTGCGAAGTGCGAAGACGGCCTTTCGTTGAAACGAATTTGTCTTTTTGCTGAGGCAGTCGAACGTCGGGGCCAGACTTGTCCGTCTATCGGAAGATCGGTCCACGGCAGAGTCCGCCAGAGCGAGACGGAGTTCGCTCGAAGCACCGAAACAAGCACCAAAGCGGGACTAAAGGCACATATAGCCAGAGCGCATGTTGTTCTAATAAATATATCGTGCAGACAGTTAGTACCACCGGTGGGTTCCACGGCTGCTAACCACTTTGTTACTGGTCGCTGCTAAGTCATATCAGCTGCGCAGATCGTGGCGCTGACATTGGTAAAGGCCACGAAGCGGCAAGGGATGTTGGCAAAGGCACGGATAGCAGATAAACAAACCAACACGCGCGCGATTTCTTGAAAGCGTCGAACTGAAATAAACATCGTAGTAGAAACCGTGTACGGCCAACGTTTGCCATGCCTCTATCGTCCGTTGGAATGTTGTATAAAGTGTACACGGCATCGTCGTGTGTTCGGCGAACGTGTTTCTGCCCAGTGAAAGATATGGCCATCAACCCGTCTCGGGGGGGTCTGTAGAAGAAAGCAAATTAATTTCAATTGTCAAATACGCAAATACGCGAACATAACATCGAAGACGCTAATGCAATAGATTGTGTAGACGAATCGCCGCATCTAATTTCGAAACCCAGGGTATTATCCAACGTTTTTCTTAGATAAATGCAAGGACCGTAGTCGAAATGCGATGGGCCAAGCAGCAGATTCCTGACTCTGGATGATATACGATTTTTTAGCGCATACAGCTTATGCATGGAGACACGCAGCGTGAGTCACTCTCCACCAAAATGCAGAATTTGTGCCGAGACATAGACGATTCGAAGCGAGCTTACAAACGGTCATACGCTCTCAGACGATACCGTAGAGGCTAAATCGATACATAGATGTTCGTTAAAGTCTTTTAACAAGTTTGTGCTTAATATTCATATAGGAATAGATGTTTAGTGAAAAGGATAGCAACGCTAACACTTATTTAGCTAGGTTTCTTTTCATTTTGGCAGTTCGAAAGAGGTTCGACCGATGCCAGCTAACTGACCTGTTATCCTAATACACCGGTATGATAGAAAATGTAGATAGTCTGTGCGTGTTTGGTCAAACGTTTCGCCGGCTGGCTTTGACCTTGCAATTCCTTTAAATAGACTTTTCAAAACGTCTATACACACTCATGGCAAAGGCGATGCTTTACTCATGGAGTTCTAATCGTTGAGGTTAAAATTACTGCTTAAACGTTGTGTATAGGCCGCATCATAACTAAGCCCCATTAGAATTGGGCCTCTCTGAAGTGTAAGGAGTACGAAATACCTTACACTATGTTTTATTGCCCGAACGGCATATTTAATATTAGTTTACATTGGAAAGGTAGTAAAACGACATCCGATACAATATATGGGCCAGATACACAAGAAGTTAATACTGAAAAAAGACTCATTAAAAGTTACCCTATCGTGAGGTTTCTGTTGTCTTTACTTTAAATCTATAAGGACTTGAAGATTAGTGAGTCAGCATTAAAGCACACGCAATCCCACCGATTGACCTCATCCTGCCGCGTTCGTTTCTGAGGCATAGTATCGAAATAATCTACCTGACCTAATTCAGTTTAACATCTCGGTTGTGATCAACAAAGGGTCGATCATAGGTGGCGGTAAAATAAGAAAGTAGCTGAGCGCTTGCACTGTTATTATGCGGTCTGCTAGCAAAATCTCCATTGATTGAATGAGAACAATATTCTCATAACTGAGCAACAATAACGGCAGGCCAACAGACGGTAGCAGTATCTGCAAAAAAAAAGAACGGACGAACTTCGATGGCGGCAACGATAATGGAGATTTGGAATCACTCCCGATTAATTCGACTTCTACTACGCCTTCAAAGTGTAATCAGCGCAGTGGTCCTGTGCCATCAGCTGTTGTCGTTGTTCAATACTCGCTGGTAACGAGTTACTTAACAGGGCAGCAACCGCTCAAGCAGCGCAAGTGTACCTGAACTTCAGTACGAAGCCTGCGTCGCTCCCAGGCCACTGCTTATTTGCTTCTTGCAGATTTGACTAATCTGCAGCCGCGCAGACGGACTTTGCATGCAATCACTCCTATACATCAACGGCGAAGGCGCAAGGCGAAATGCATATCGAAGGCTAAAAAAGAGACAAGAAAGAAGACATTTTAAAATAAAATTGTAATTAATCTTTTCCTATGTTGGCCAAACAAAGGCGCAGTGCCACCGAGCACGCTGATTACCCACCACAGGAGGCGGTGATGTCAACCGCCCGTAGAGGCTGAGATGGAAGGAAAAGTAAATTACTCAGGACGCGACACACTCACTAAAGGCACTGCATTGTCTCTCGCCCCGTTCGACTAAGGGATGTAGCTGCGCGTACGTGTGTCTGTCTACCTAGCTAGCTACCTCCCTGCATATCGTCTACCTTATCGGGTTTCGTCTGCGTCTGGACGCCTCTGCGCTATTAGACAACTCTGGTACTGCATCGAATTTTACTCTTCGTTCTTTCATCGGGCTTCGTCAACGGGGAACGTGCTGCTACCCCTCGACTAATAGCTACTGCAAAAAAGGCGTTATAGTCACAACGATGTTTCCCCCTCTCCCACTCAATGTAAGCACTATTTAGTACCATTCCAGCCCTTCGGACCACCCACAGCTCTTGGCAGCCAAGAAAATACGTTGCCTTCGCTAACAATGTCTACACATCTGACGACTAAATGACTCCGTTTATGAATGTCAGCCTCCACTATCGGAGCTGATTTCTGTAAAATAGTATTTGGACTTCTCAAGACACTTGTACTAAGTTACTACTAGACGATTGGCTCCCCTTAATTGATCGAGTTCGTTTATACTTGTCCATCTATATGTGTTTGTGCTGAATCTGGCCATTTCTGAGATTCTACCCTCAACGCTGCTGCTCAGACGTACTTGAGAATTCGATTATTTGACCTGACCGCTACCTGTGTATTCCGGGTCCCCCAATGAGTTCGGCTGCATAAGTCGCAATATGACCTCATTTACATCGACCATATCTAGCTTTTGCTCCCGAACCCCTCTGGCCCTCTGTTTCTTCGTTCTTGTTAACTTCGACTAACTTCAAAGCCATAGGTTCCATACTACAATATAAATGCTCACGGTTGTTGCACTGCGTTTTGTGCTAGCGAAGTAGACGAATTCGGAAAGGCCCTATTAATGCACGACTATAGGAATAATAGTGGGTTCTGACAGGTTGCATCTACAATACTTCCCTTAAAGGCACGACGTGGCTTTATGGGGTCCTTTGTCCGAGACCGGGTAAATAACACTGAATATTGTGTTCTTCTGTCACCAAGTAAATGACTTCTATACTAATACATTCTAGCTATACCCCCCTAACGACTATGCCTTACGTTTCACTTTTTCGTAAATCAATTGAGTACGTTATGTACATGCGCCTTGTTTTAAGGTCCGTGGCCATGCGTAGACTCGAATCGGGAGAGGGCAGTGCTAGACCTGCTGAAATAGACGTCTCTTATTGAGGAATCTTTTCCGTAGTTGTATGTTTAGATGTCCTTTCGCCTTCGGGGGTTAGTCAAGTGAATCGGTATCTTTGCTAGCGACTGTCAATTTGTTACTGAAGTTGTAGCCGAAAGGCACCGATAGTAAGTAATGGAACAAAACAGAAGCACCAAAGAACAAAGCTTAGTGTAGCAAAGTTAGCTGTGTATTATTATACACAGACTAATCCTATGTATATGTGTCGTTCGAGGCACACATCTATATATGTGTGTGCGTATTTAGATGGTGATCGGCGGCCGCGGGAGGTTCTCACTCAAATTGACTACAACCGATTTCCGTCCAAAGAAAGAGTGGGGGAACAACCCAGGTGTCACTGGAGATGGGAAGTAAAGCTGTCTCTTAGGTGGGGGTGAAGTGACGTGAATCACTTTGTGTGCCCTAGTAGATTTTGTTAATTCAGAACAATAAACTAGTCGGGCTCGCGAACGTAAAGATTAAAAATGCTTTCTAAATGTTCTTTTTCCGTGACGGACATCTGTTTAGCAAGCGCCATTAAGTTTGGATGTGCGTCCAATAACGCTTACCTACCGAGATGTAGAAGATAACGCACCGAAAGGTTCACTGGCTTGCCAAGACCAAGCCAGATATTCTTCGTATAGGATAGGTACATAGTGATACTTATGTTAATATTCCATTTAGAGACCACTATCCGGCAGTATTAGTTTTCCATTTCGGTGTAACATTTAGTCAATTTTTACTATCGTCAATACGTCAGACCCCGTGTTCTGAAGAAATCTCCCGTGTAAGCGTTTGCTTAAAGCGAGGATTACAACCTGAAAATAGATTGGGTTAGAACCTAACTTGTTTTTGATACATTTCTATCTTTCTGCCTCCTATATAGGTGGCCTATCTACTAGCAACTTTTTTTCCTAAGTGTCTCAATGTAAAGCAAACGACCTCGATATCTGCAGCTACCCGAGGCACCCTCTCACATAGTATACGAATAGAGTTTCTTCGAGTTTGTTCGAGCAGGCGCGCCTTAAATAGTGCTGTGATCGCCAATAAATTGGTTACAGAGCGCGAAATAAATGAGTATATTATACAACAAGTCTCGAATACAGCCAACAAACGCGTACGGCACTGTTCAACTAGTCAACTAGGCCGATAAAAAGGGAACTACTGCTACCAGCAACAAAGACGCTTCAGATTCGCTTCGGAGGCACACAAACAGCCGGCAGGAAAGCGGCCAGGCGGATTGACTGCCTGGCTGGGCCGGCCGCGTGAGGTGAGGTATCTCTTTTGCTACCTCTCGGTAGCGAAGCGCGGTGATTCGGCCTTCAGAGGTGTAGGGGAAATCGTGTGTACGCGGGGAGCGAATTTGTAGGTGAAACAGTCACAGCAGTGATACGATGTGTAGTCTTCTTTCGACGTCTGCTTCTATCTATGACCGTGCGTCCGCAGTGCGTAGCATTCATTGGGCTGTCCGGGTTCGCGGCTCCCAGCGCTTGGCCAGCGCCGCTGCCAGCGATTCGAAAACGACGACACGGTACTGACACTGCTGGTCGTAGTCAGTCGACGGATCGTCAGCGACATTGCTGCCACTACGCAGCGCACGCTGCTGCCTTCTGTCTGTCTCGAGGGGTGACGGCGCTGCCTTCATAAATCAAGAGCTCACATGTGA